AAGTATTAATAATATCACTATAGTTATACTATAAGCAGCTTAGCTATATATCTCAGACTATATCTCTATACTATATTAAGCTTATTATATAATTAGCTATTACTTAAAAGTATAGTATATTATAGAGGTTTTAATAATCCTAAAAGTAAACTAAAATACTTTTATACTAAAAAGCTAATAGCTAATTTCACTACTTTTAACTATTAATAAGGGATTTAAGAGGCTCTATATATAATAAGTAATATATTATATTATAGAAGAATAAATACTCTACTTTACTATAATAAGAGCTCTATTTTAACGCTCTACTATAAATATTATTAAAGCGTTAATATATAATATAATAATAGGCTTTAACTAAGGTTAAGTCTATACTTTTATTATAAATAATATTAAAAGTATATTTAATATAATCCTATAAAATTATCTTTATTAGAAACTTAGAGAATAAAGCTAGCTACTTAACTTTATTTAATAAGTCTATTATTTTATATTAAATTAGATAGTAGTAATATATTATAAAGGATATATTATACTAATAGAGAAGCTATTTTATAAACTACTATAAGACTTACTAGCTTCCCCTATACTTTATTTACTCTATATTAAGCTAATATATTAAATTAAGGATAAAGAGATAAGATTTAGCTATATTAATAATAGTAAGATCCTCTACTTTAGAGATAATCTTATAAAGTTAATAATAAAAGCTTAGAAGATCCTTAATAATATTATTACTTAGGGAAAAGAAAACTATATAGCGTTAGATCTAAGGAAAATAGAACTTATTTACTTTACTAACTAAATTAAACTAAAACTTAAGGATAAGCTACTACTTAATATCTACTATAAAGATAGAGAAGTATAGCTATTTAAAATTATAGTTTAGCTTAGAATAATACTTAACTTAAAGCTTATCTTTATTAAGTATATTTAGAGAAAAGTAGCTAAAATATAGAAAGTTATTAAGTATATAGAAAGCTTTAATAAGGTTTACTCTAGGATATTACTAGTTACTATAAAGAAAGTAGTATATATTATTATATTACTAAAAGTACTATTTAGCTTAGAAATATAGTATTTAGGCCTTAAGAAGCTAAGTAAAAAGCGAGAAGATATTAGCTAAAGTAGAGGCTTTAAGTTAGTTTCTTATAAATTATATAAGCTTATTAAGGCCTTATAAGTTATAGTTAATATTATTATTTAAAGCTATCTCTTAATATAGAGAATAATACTAATTAATATTATATAATAAAAATTAAGTATACTACTAGTTAAATATATCCTTATATCTATTAAGGATTACTATACTTTATAGTTAAGATAGCTAGATAAAAAGTACTTATTAATTATAAAGATTAAGAGGTATAAACTTCTATAAAACTAAAGTAATACTATTTACTTTATAAACTTTATTAGTACTATAAAGGATATACTAGCTTTTTCTTATTTATAGCTATACTTAAAGGATTATAAGTTCTAAGATTTACTTTACTAACTAAAGAATAAAGATAAAGTAGCTAAAGTATACCTACTTTAAGTAGAATTATTACTTCCTACTTATCTAATAGTTTATATTAATAAGTTATAACTTTAGCTAGAATAAACTAGCTTTAGCTATATAGTTTATAAGAACTTTAAGCTTATTTATACTAACTATTAGAGACTTCTATAAGTAGAGGTTTTTAATATAGAAATAGAAGGAGCTTAAGCTAGCCTAAAGGTTACTATTAATTTACTTAATAAAGATATTATAGCTATTATAATCTATTTAGATAATATTATAATAGTATTCTATTTAGAAAGTGCTTTTTTAAAGTTTTTATAAGATATTATTCTAAACTTTAAATAGATAGTTTTAGAGAGCTAAGTAATAATACCTATTTTAGTATATTAAATATTTAGCTATAAGGATATCCTTAGTAATAAGATAGTAGATTAGTTTACTAAGTAGAGCTTAAAAATTAAATCCTCTAACTTAATATTATAACTTCTAACTTTTAGCTATATTAAAAGAGAGGTATATTATAAAGAATAGATAAAGCTAGATATTTAGTAAAGCTATAAAAGCTTCTATAAGTATTATACTTTAAAGCTTTTAGCTACTAATAAACCTATAATAAAGCTTAAAATACTCTTAAAAGCTAATTTATACTAACTAATAGCTATAAAGAGTTACTATAATAATTTTATTAATTATTATAAAAGATACCTCTATAAAGATATTAATATCTTTTATTCTTATAAGTATTAAAAGATATCTAAACACCTTTATTACTACTATAAAGTAAATAAGTAAGGTGTTTTTTAGTTTAATTAGGGAAAGTTTATATAGGAATAATTAGGAATAAAGTAGCTAAAATATATTAAATACTTAACTAAATTATCCTTTTATAATAATATCTACTTTTAATAAAATATCGCTAAATATATAGAGTATAATATATTTTAAGCTTTAGACTCCTTTAAAGTATAAATAATTACTTTACTACTTATATCTAGTTATAATTTAATAAATAAGCTTTTATAGCTAAAGTATTATTATATACCTAAGTATATAGTAGTTTTTTATTAATACTCTAACTATACTTCTATTACTACTAAGTAGTATTTCTTCTTATAAGCTCTTTACTTATAAGCTTTCTAAGTAAATATATATTAAAATAGTTATTTAATAAACTAATTAATATTACTACTTATTAAAATTTAAACTATATTCTCTTAATATTAAGACTATATAAGTAGTATTACTATTAAGAAACTTAGATATTATAACTATAAAATAATAATTCTATTTAGTAGTCTATATCTATATCTATATTTTATATTTATATTATATTATAAAGATATTAAAGAAGAGGGGGTTTTTACTTTTAATAAAGTTAGATTACTTTCTATCTACTTAAGCTATATAGGATAAAGTAGGATAGGATAGGATATAGTATATATATAGCTTAACGTAGATGCCCTTTACCCTATATAGGGATGTGCTAGCGATTAAATAATACTACCACTACCACCACTAGGGAAGCAACGGTCTGGGAGGATGTGCTAGGACAAACAAAGTATACGTGGCTAATATCTTAACGAGGTTGCTGGCACTCAAGTTTATTAAAGCCGGTCGCAATGCTAAGCTGTGTATCATCAGCTGCATAGTAAGATACATACGAATACAATGCCGACTTCCTTCCTCGAGGGCGGACATCAGACTCCAAGAGCACGGTACACAGCAATCATACATACAAGGTCTGTGTCGAGGGGGTTGAAAGGAAGTGGCGAAACTGGCTGGCCCACGCTTTTAAGATGAAGACATTCTCTTGCTCATTGGCGATAGCATCACTCCTGAAGTCATGGTCTACTTCATCATGATATCTGGCAACTACCTAGCATTGCATGATTGAATCCTCAATACGAGCTGGGAGAACTGTTGCCATGTGCGTCCCTATTCCCGGATTCAAATAACTGCGAGTGTTCTCGCCTAGATTACCCATCTACGCCGGAACTGGGCCCTTCCTTTGGTTCAGGTGCGAATACTGCAATGATCCATTCCCCAATGTGATTGGTATGTCAATGGCTCCGACATCGGGACGATGTGCCTCGGAGCTTTTTATGCGCCTACTAGCAACATTCATTTGCCAAAAGCTGACTACCTAGACTTATGTTTGCGATGTGTCTGCTGATTCGGCCTTGTAGTCTGGAGCGAGTGCTGTTTCTACTGCTCGTATCTACCCAGAGAAGTCTGGCTTGAAGAATATGCCGCTGGTAATCCTCTTGATCTTTCTTTTTTCTTCTTTGCGACGTCCAAGTTGCGCATGCCGACGATCTATTTCAAATACATTGCGTGGGTCATTCGAAAACGGGGACGAAAAAAACGAAAGCAGAGCGCGCGAGAGCAATGGCGGTAGGTCGGACCTCCGAAAGCCCGTCTGCTGGTCGACCACCTCTTCCGAAATACGCGGGAGTAATACTTAGCAAAAGGTGCCGAATCGTCCTCCAACTTACCTTAAAAAAAAAGAAAAAAAAAAAAAAAAGGATGCCATACTGGCTGATTTTCATCAGAAATGAAAAGATAAAGATTAGGGCAGTAAGTTCCCCGTTATTGAGAACAACTCGGTAGCCGCCGGAGAGCCGAAGAGCCAGAAACCCACAGCCTCAACTGCTGGCACGTCCCGATTTCGTGGAAATCTTCCTTGGCCCGCACCATCCTCCGTGGGGTTGCAGGGCCTGTCTCAGGGGCGGAACCTCTGATTTCCTAAGTAGGTAGGGCTGGAGTAGTGGTTAAACAATTAGTGGAGAAACATATCTCAACCAGACGAACGACTGGAAGATAAGATTAGGTCGGCGGTAGTTTGACTCGGATTTAAGACAAACAAATGAGAGCTTTTTGCGTAGATCGTTAAGCTTGGCATCATGCAACAGCCCGTTGATCTAGTGCTACGATTCATGGCTGGGTGTACCGGATCCGCAGCCCGGTATTAGCACATATTGCCAAGAAGCAGTTACTACGAGATTTTGGCAGTCTCCACTAGGGATAGGGGGGATTTAGAGAACTGTAACCCGTCAGCCAAGCATGAACACGGTAGGGAAGTCTATGCATAATGGACAAAATCCAGGAGTACGATAAATTCGTCTGATGTTGATGGCGAACTTCATCGGGTTTTGACAGATCGAGCTTCCAGCATCGCTGTGTCCGATCCATAATAACCCGTGCCCAACCCTTGTGTCCTCATCAGATCCCACCGGTCGCCTTGTGCAACGTGAGGCAATTTCCCGACCTTCTGCTTCGGCTTTCTAGTGTGTCGCGACCCAAGAAATGGAGTGGCCAATATATCATGCCCGGTCTGGCCGTTGGGCCAGTGGAGTCCTACCCATTTACTCGTGGCTGAGACAAGGCGTTTGCTTGGCACCAGTGACCCGGCATATAAGAACATGACGCATCTCTATGATCAACCTTTCAAGCTCTGCAGGTCGCACCACATACCAGGATGGCATCGTTCAACATGGCTGCCGGCGTGATCGCCCTTCTTCTCACAGGAGCCGTTGCACAGGCCCTTCCGGACGGCGCACCCACGTTGCCGCAACAGGCTCAGATCATCGACCAATTGAGCCAGAATGTGCTGGAAGAAGTCTTGCCTCCTTATGAGGCCAATGCATCAACGGTTCGTATGCTCATGGCTCGAGAAAAGGCTACAACTCACAACAATCGCAGGAATTCTTGTGGCGTGGCGTCAATTCTTCGTCGCTCAAAGAGAGACCATTTCACATCTACAGCACGGAGTTCTATGAGGTGATTGGCAATGATCCGTCGCTCACCCTCATTGCGACCACGGAGTCCGACCCCATCTTTCACGAGGCAGTCACTTGGTATGTATCGCCTGTTCTGGGTGCCTCAGATTTGCGCTGACTAGAGAAGGAACCCAACAACTGATGAAATGTTCTTCGTCCAAAATGCTGGAGACCCAGATGCGGGCACCGGCTTGAATAAGTCTTCTATCATTCAGAAGATCTCCCTTCTGGATGCTGAAGAACTGAGAAACGGGACTTTCGGTGCTACAGCGGTGCCAGTGCATACAGTGCCATCGACCCCACAAGTGATCAACCCGAATGGTATGTCTCCCACGTGAAGGGCCGATATCGTATGTGTGCTGAAATTAAGAAGGCGGCACCAACTACAAGGGTAACCTGGTCTTCGCGGGCTCAGGCCAAGGAGACCGTCTTGCATCTGCGCTCTATCTGATGAATCCTGTCGAACCATACAACACTACAAGTGAGTGATTCAGAGCCAATGGCAGATTTTGTTGAAGGGTTGGGCCTAATTTCCTTCGTGCAGTCCTGGTCAACAACTTCTTTGGAAGAGCTTTCAACTCACTGAACGACGTCGCTGTTAATCCCCGTAACTTGAACGTTTACTTCACCGACACTCTTTATGGATACCTTCAGAACTTCCGGCCGGCGCCTGGCTTGCGGAACCAGGTTTATCGACTCGATCCCTCCACTGGTTCACTGTCAGTTGTTGCTGATGGGTTTACTCTGCCAAACGGTTAGTATCCATGTCCATGCAATCATTGTTTGGTTGTGACTGACTTGGGTCCAATGCAGGGATCACGTTCTCTCCCAACGGCGAATACGCATACGTCACTGACACCGGCATGGCTCATGCATTCTTTGGCGAGAATTTGACGGATCCTTCGACAATGTAAGTTGCCATTGACAATCATCCGATGCTGTGGAAGAGAACTGGCGCTGACTTTTGTAAGCTATCGGTATAATGTACAAGAGGATGGCACCTGGGAGAACCGGAAGACGTTCGCCTACGTTAGTCCTGGAATTCCGGACGGTAAGCACATCCCAGAACGTGACTAATGTGCGACTGTTTCTGACTTTGACTGGATGCAGGCATTCACTGCGATTCAAAGGGTAATGTGTATGCCGGCTGCGGGGATGGCATTCACGTGTGGAATCCATCTGGAAAGTTGATTGGGAAGATCTACTTTGGTTCCGGCGTCTCCAATTTTCAATTCGCCGGAGATGGCCGGATGGTCATCATGGGACGGACGAAGTTGTTTTACGCAACCCTTGGTGCTTCAGGAGCTCCCATCTCGTAAATGAAAAGACGATAGGTCTCGAATTAAACAATGATTCAATAATTGCGGGTAACATGCCCCGAATAACTCAGGTCAATCAGTTGCGCAAGATGTGTATTAAGCGCGCTGGATGTCATATGCATGCTATTCTATCTGGTCTCTTAATTCTAGGTTCCGAGGCTCTGGGCCTCGCACATCTTCTTGTACAGGGGACCCTTTGCCAGAAGCTCCTCATGGGTACCTTTCTCCACGATTCTACCACCGTGGAAAACACAAATCACATCAGCGTGTCTAATGGTTGACAGTCGATGTGCCACAGCGATGGTAATCCGCTCACCAGACGAAGCTGCCTGGTTTAACGCTTCTTGCACAACGCGCTCTGATTGTGTGTCCAATGCACTTGTGGCTTCATCGAGAAGCAGTACACGAGGCTTGCGGATCAAAGCACGGGCGATGGCGATTCGCTGGCGCTGGCCACCAGAAAGCTGAGTGCCATTGGCTCCGCATTGAGTATCGAGACCTTCGGGCAGGGAGCTGATGAACTCCCATGCATTAGCCATACGGCAGGCTTCGATGATACTTCCGTCAGAAATGGTAGACGGGTCTTCTGTCGGAATACCCATGGAGATGTTGTGCCTGATGGTGCCTGGGTAAAGGACAGGCTCTTGCTGTACGAGTGCGATGTCTTTTCGGAAAAGCCACGGGTTCATCCGATCAACATCAACACAATCAACCCTCAGATGACCGCTGACTGGATCATAGAACCTCTCGAGTATGGCAATCATAGTGCTCTTTCCGCATCCAGATGCTCCGACAAAGGCCACGAATTGTCCCTTCTTGATCTACGAGATCTCGTCAGTTTGAACCTTTCCTGGTTGCCGTATGCAGGACACAACGCACCGACAGGTCGACACCCTGTAGGACCTTTGTTTCAGACCTCAAAGGATAAGAGAACCTGATGCGTTCAAGCTCAATTGTTGAGTAGTCCGAGGGCCCAACACATGCATTCTCATCAGTTTCCCGAATCGATGGCTTCAGTTCGGAGAGCCAAAAAAGGTAATTAGCTGCGTTGACAGCTTTTGTCATACCTTTGAAATATTAACTCATATCTTTGCTACTCAGAATTAACACTTACTGCTAGAAAATCCGAAGAGAATGGAGGCCTGTTGTCCAGAAAAGAAGACGCCTAAGAAGGCAACGAAGAAATTGACCATGCTGATGTTGCCGAATGACACCAGGCGGCAGCCATACCTAAGTCAACAGATAAGCGACGACATAAATGAGAGTGACTTGAATATAGAATACCAGAACCCGAGAGCCATAAAAGCGTATTCGACACTTTGCGTGAAGGCAAACGGCAGCATGATGAGCATTATCGGCCTCCGGGCGAAGTTATTGGCGTGATCCAACTCCGTAGTGTATCGTTCGAGAACAGACTTCTCAATGGACAGGGAAGAGACAGTGCGAATGGCGGTAATTGCTTCAGATGCAATCGAGGCACTCGAAAAAAATCTCTTGGATATCTTTGCATCCATAGCAGACTCCATCCTTATGCGGACATAGCCAGCAAAGAGCATTGGGGGCAGGCCGGCAAAGACAATGACGACGCCTAATCTCCATCCGTATGCCAACGCCAGAATGCTGCAAGCGAGAACGCTCACGACCGAGACGAGAATCAAAGCGATGTTGAAGCCCATTAGCTCAAACACAGCTTGAGGGTACGAATCTGTCCTGCTCGTCAGAGCACCAGTCGTGTTCTCCGGTCGGTCGAAGAACTGGAGATCTTGTTTAAGCATATTGTCCACAAGCTCCTTGCGCATCTTTTGGTTGAAAGTCTGAGGGAGTGTTAGCTCAGAGTACGAGATCAGAGGAGAGGTTGAACGCACCGTAGCAATCGTGTTGGAGCACCATCCAATGACGAAGTAGACAAAGAAAGCCCCAATACCGACAACAAAAAACATGAGAGCGAAAAAATTGCCTTTCTTTTGCATCTGTGACCCAGTAAACTTGAAAACCTCGATAAACCTTGACATTAGGATAGCCTGTCCGGGATACGCAGCCGCTGCGAACGCCAAGTCAGCAACAGTAAGCCATTACAAGGTTTTTTTGTTATTGTTGTTATTATTCTATTTTTCAACGTCAGAGCTAAGCTTAGATCGCTCCCTAGGGTATATATTATATAGAGTAAACCTATATATCTATAAATCTACTATATACTATTCCTACTCCTTAAATTAAATATCCTCTAGTTAATTACTTCTTATATATAGTATTTCTAAACTTAGAAGTTACTTTTTATTATTAGAAAATAGTATAAATATTTCTTATTTCTAGTTTATATTACTTAGCTAAAGCTAGTATTATAGAAGTTTAAACCTTATTATACTAAAGCTAATATTATTATAAAATCTAAATAAGAAGTTTTTAGTTAGTAACTAAAATTAAAGTTTAAACTATTTATAAGCTTTTAAAGAAGTAAAATTACTTATAACTTATTATATTTTATTAAGAAAACTAGGATTTTTTTAAAAAAGTTAATAAATTAATTTTTATATTTTCCTATAGTAATTTAAATTATTTAAGCTAAAAAATTAAAATAGAATAAAGTATAATAGAGTTTAAGAAAGTTATTAGCTATAAAGTTTATATAAATAAACTATTTAATAGTTTTAACTATTAAAAAAACCTATAATTTCTTTAAACTTTTTAAATTACTTTAGATTACTAATTATAGATCTTTAGTAATACTTAAGATTTCTAAATAAAAATAGTTTTAATTTATTATTAATTAATAACTAAAACTACTAAAATTTCTTTAGATAAATTAAATAATAAAATACTATATATATAGGGGATTTCTATTTTCTATATTTATATTTCTAAACGCTTTATTACTTCTAAGTAAAATATTTATAATATATCTTAAAATCGCTATACTTTAAATAAGTAGTAATTAAATAGTATAAAAGTTTTTATAAGAACTTTAGCTTTAAAAAGTATTAAAATACTAACTAAAAGTTATTATAAGTATAATATTAAAATCTTTTATTTATATATTATTATTCCTAATAATACTTAGTAATTTTCTTCTATACTAAATACTTTATAGTAGCTATAATAGCTAATAAAATAAAGTTAAGAAGAGCTATTAAAGCTTTTTATTTTATAAATATATTTACTAACTTATTTCTAAGAATATCTTTATAATTAGGAACTTAATATATAAAGATAAGAGAGGTTACTAAAGTAATATACTTTTTAGTTTAAAGAATAGTTATTTATAAAGATAAAGGTATATTACTATATCCCTCTAAAATATTAATAATATTAAAGTTATTAATATAAATATAAACTATATTTATTAAACTTTATAAATATATAGCTATATAAAGCTTAAGGTTTATAGCTTTAACTTTAATATTAAAGATTTTAGTAAAGCTAAAATATTAAAAACTTTATATAAAGAGTATTTTAGCTTTCTTTTTTTCTTCTTTTTTACTTAAAAATATAATATAGCTATAACTAATTTCCCTAAACTTAAGTTTAGATCTATTAGTATAAGTAATAATATTATTTTTAAGTATATCTTTAAGCTAAGTTTTAAATTTAGTAGTAGCTATTTTCTTTAGAAAGTAAGAAAAGCTTAAAAGTTATAGAAGTATTAAAATTAAATAAAGGTAGTAGAAGAGTATTATAGTAATATATTATAATTATATAAACTTATAATAGAGGTTTAATAAGTAGATATAAAGGTATTAAATTAATAAATAATAAAAGTTAAGATATTTAAGTTTTATAGTAAAGTAAAACTAATAAGCTTTAAGTATAATATCTATAAGAGAGATTTTAGATTTATAATATAATATAGTAATAAGAGTAATATACTATATAAATAGAACTCCTTAGATATTAATATAAATTACTTTATTAATAAACTAAAAATACTTTTTCTAATTTATAAAATAAAATAGTTTAATTAGAGTAATATTAAGATATTACTAAATAAGAATATAATTAGGTTTCTAAAAGCTAAAAAACTAAGTTTTTATATTATAAATAGTAGTAGAAATAATAATTAAAAAGATAGCTTTATATATAAAAATAAGAGAGAAACCTTTATATACTACTTTAAAGCTATAAAAGAATTTAGTATATTTTAAAGTAGTATTAGCTTAAATCTAAATATATAATATAAAAATAAACTTATAATTAAAAATAACTTTAAGCTACTTTATAATATCTTTAGGTATTATTATTAAGCTATTAGCTTTAATTAAAAGATTTATTAGCTTATATTTTTATAAAATATAAATAGTTTTACTCTTTTTTAGCTTAAAAAAAACTTTATTTTTAATACTTTAGTGTAAAATATAAGTAATATTAGTTATAAGTAGTTTAATATTTTCTTTTATAAAAAGAGATTTAGTTTATATTAAGATATTATTAATATACTTAAAATAAAAGTTAAAGTTTTATAGTAGAAGCTTTATAAAATAAAGTAAATATAGAATAAAAGAAATAGAGAAACTTTAAAGAAACTTATAATAAAGAGGGAAAAGTTCTAAAATAGTACCTTTAATATAAATTTAAGCTTAATATCTAGTTATAAATAACTTAATATAGTAAATAAAAAGTTCTAACTATCCTTATTTCTATAATTTAATAAGGAAGTAGTTATAGAAAATAGTATTAAAAGCGCCTTTAGTATTAAGTATAGTAAAGAAAATAACTAAACTAACTTTAAAAATAGCTTTAATTTTATAAGTTATATAGGTAGTAAAATTAACTATATTATACTTAAGGAGGGCTTTAAAATATTAAGTACTAATAATTTAAGCTAATAATATTATATAAATAATATATTAAGTAAATAAGCGCTTAAAGCTTTTTTTAAGATAGGAGAGTAAAGATATAAGATAATATAAAGTAACTTTAATTAGAAATTTCCCTTTTTTAAGTATAAAAACTACTTTAGTTTTTTTAAAAATCTCTAAGTAGTACTTAAAAGTTAAATAAGCTTAAAAGAAAGCTTAAATAGATTTAACTATAGCTAACTAAGTAGCTTAAAGTATATAAATAGTAATACTATTAACTTTAAATATAATATTTATTATAAGTATTATAGTAACTACTTAAGTAGAAAAAATAGAAGTATCTTATAAAATATTAGAATAAAAGAGGATATAAATACTATCTAAATCCTAAATATTATTTATAACTAAGAAATATTTAAATAAAGCCTTTCTAAAAGCTTATACTTTTATAATAGGGAACTTAATTACTTTATCTTTAATTTTTAAGAGTAATAAGTAGAAGTTAAGCCTTATTTAGTACTATTTTATTATATAATAAAAATTAAAGATATTTACTATATAATCTACTTTATTATAATACTAAGCTATCTTATAAATATAAATAGCTTATTAAAGTTCTATATTAATAAGCTTTTCCTTTTTATAAAAAGAGTAGAAAAAGTATAAATATAGTTTATAGTTTAAGGATTAAGTATATTAAGCTTTATATAATTTTTATTTAGTATCTTAATATTTAAGTAACTACTAAACTAAGATAACTAAACTTAAAGTATATTAAAGTAAATAAGTTATAATATTTATTACTTATAAAAAGTAGAAGAAGATAGATTTAGTAGTAGTATTATATTATATTAGCATTATATTTAAAATAATAATAAAAAGAGGGTTCTATTTATAGAAAGTAGTAAATCGCTTAAGTTTACTATTTAATATTTATACTTAAACTAAAGAACTTAGTTCTAAAGCTAGAAAGATAAAGATATAAGCTAGAATAGCTTTATAATTTACTCTAAAATAAAAAATAAGATTTAGTTTTACTAAAATAAATAGAATATTAAACTAAGATAGATCTATAGTATAACTAGTATTATATATTAGTATTTTAAGCTTATTTAGAAAGAAAAAACTATTTTAGTTTACTTAAATCTTAATTTTTAAGCTATTATTAGTAATTCTTATACTAAAAACCTAAGAAAGGTCTATAATATTCTAATTATTACTAATAAAGAAATAAAAGAGGATAAAATATTAAAAGATATAAATAATAATATTATTATTTATTATATTAAGTTTATATATATTTAGAATAGTTATATTTTAAATCTATACTTAAATAAAATTATAAATTTTATAAAACTAAGTCTAAATAGCTTTTAAGCTTTTCTTAATATATATAATTACTTAAAGAATAATATTTAAATTATAATATCCTTAAGTATTAATAAAATAGAATATTTTATAAAAAAAGTAGTTTATAAAGAATAGCTTTTCTTTCTTTTTATTAATATAAAGTTTTTATATTAAGACTATATTAATATACTTCTTAGTATAGCTTTATAGTAATATATAATTTATAGAGTTATTATACTTAATATTATACTATATAATATATAAGCTTCTAATATAATATCTTTAAGCTTATTTAAAGTAAGATATTATTTTTAAAAAGGGGGATTTACTATATATTATTATAATAACTTAGTTCCTTAATATATAAAGTAGTATTATAAATAAAATTATAAGAGAAATAAGAGGTAGAAACTTATAAAGTTATAAGTTTCTTAAGCTTAAAGAAGTTAAGCTAAAATAAACTACTATTTTTTAAGCTTTTTTTAAAAGCTTCTTATTTTATATTTTTCTAATATATTATAGTATAAATAATACTACTAAACTTAATAATATAAGTTTACTTTTAATAAGAGTAAGAAGTAAAAGAAGTATTTAGTATTTCTATTTTAATATCTTTAAGTTTAAAATCTTCTAAAAAGGAGTTTAAAATAAAAAAGTTATCTTTTATAATAATTTAAATAGTATTAGCTATTTTATAATTAAGTAAAGCTATACTACTAATAATAATTATTAATTAAGCTATTTTAAACTAAGCTAAAGAAGTAGAAATAGTTAAAAATAAACTATAGAAGGAGCTATTAAGCCTAAATATAGATAATATATTATATATAACTTACTAGATCTTTTAAAGCTAATACTTAGAAAGTATAACCTAAATATTATCTTTTAAAATAGAGTAAATAATATAATTATTATAGTTTATAAAAAAGATACTATAATAGTTTAAGTATTTAAAGTTATTTAAGTAAGTTAAAGTTATATTAATACTAATATAATTAGTTTAGCTATACTAACTATAGTAATAAAATCTAATATAAAAATAACTAATATAATACTTTTAATACTTATTAAAGTAAAATATAAGTACTTATTTCTTCTCTAGTAGAAAGTAAGTATAAATAGATTTATAGAAAAAGCATTATTTAATACTTTTATAAAATTAAAGTAGTATAATAATCTAAAATTAAGTTTAAATAGTAAAGTTTATACTTTTCTATATTAAGTAAGTTTATACTAAATATAGCCCTATATATTTATAAATATTAGTTTTAACTATTTCTTTAGTAATTATAATAGTAAAGTTATTTAAATACTTAGGGAATTCTATAAATATATAGTTAATAAAGTATTTATACTATTTCTAAAAGAAGTTAAAAGATTAAATATTTATAGCTTTATAAATCTCTTCTATTTATTTAAAAAAAGCTTTTTTTATAGAAATAGAGTATAAAATAATAGTATAACTTAAAGTAGTATATAAAATATAAATAATATCTACTAATAAGAAGTTTAAAGCTTTAGTAATTCTATTCTAGAAAGTATATAGTAAAACCTTATAAATTTATATTAAGATTTTAAAAGCTTATAAAAATAAATAATAATTTATAGTAAACTTTAATAAAATATAAAACTTCTAAATATTATATAACTAAGTTAAGCTAATTATTATATTCTATTTAGTAAGAAGTATCTTAAAAAGAAATATTATATTATTTTAACTTTAAAGAGAGGATTTTATAGCTATATTACCTTATAAAAGCTTAAGAGTAACTATTTACTAAATATAAATAATAAATTTCTATATAATATTACTAAGTATTTTTTATAGTTATCCCCTATAGATTTTTATTAGTTAATTTAAATATACTATAATTATCTAATAAGTTTACTAATAAATATTAAATAAATAGAATAGTTTTTATACTTTAATAATAATTATTATATACTCTATCCCTTTAGAACTATTAAGAAGTAATAATTCTACTATAATAAGCGTTTAGAGGTATAGATATAATAGCTTAATAGAAGTAAGAGGAGGGGAAAGGTTTTAAACTAGTAACTTAAGCTTAGGTTAAGCACTTATAGCACCTATATATAGCTATAAAGCTATTATAATAAGTAATTAAGAGTATTAATAGTATATTTTATATACGTTAAGGTTACGCTGTAGCCTACTAACAGCAGGTTGCAGTAAAAAGTGTGTAGGAGGGAAGTTGCTATTACAGGGTAGATGAGTATGGTTACCTACAAAGAGGCTTGCTGCAGTCAACGCAGTGTAATACCATCGGAGCTCAGGAGTACATCTCAAAAGCCGCCAGACAGTGGCACAAAAGCCAACACGTTTCCAGTTGTCGAAGTTGTCCTTGTCCATCCTTTGCTCCGCCCGGAGTCGCGTTGCAGTGGAGTACCTTGTCAAAGCATGACTGAGGCGGACAGAATTGTCTTCGTCTTCGGCAATGGTGTCAGAATTGGAAGCGCTGTCGGAAGGTTCCTCTGTGATTGCTAAATCCTGCGCCATGACAAGTCGAGAGTACGCGCCGTTCATTGCTAGTAGTGCATCGTGGGTGCCCTGTTCGATGATCTGACCCTGTTTCATGACGACGATGTTGTCAGCATCTCGAATGGTAGCCAGCTTGTGTGCGATTGTGATGGTCGTTCGCCCTCTTGAGACGTTGTCAAGAGCTTGCTGCACCACCTGTTCTGCATGGGGATCAAGCGCGCTAGTAGCTTCATCGAGAAGAAGAATCCGGGGCTGGGAAATAATGCTGCGAGCAATAGCGACGCGTTGCTTTTGACCGCCAGACAAAAGCCCTCCACGTTCACCGATGACCGTGTCGTAGCCGTTTGGGAGAGTCTTGATAAAGTCGTGTGCGAAGGCAATCTCTGCCGCTTGATGAACGCGAGCCAGCTTGGCTTCATGAGGCTCGTTCTCCCACGGTGTCCCAACGAGTCCGTTCACAATGTTGTCGTATACGGTACCGCTGAAAAGGATCGGTTCCTGCTGTACAAGTCGGATCTGCTTCCGCAGCCACTGGAGGTTGAGCTGTTCGATTGGCCTTCCGTCCAGGGTAATTGCTCCTGATGCTGGATTATACCATCGTTCCAGCAAACCAACAATTGTGCTTTTACCAGAGCCACTGGCACCAACCAAGGCTGTCGTTTTTCCGGCCGGGATGTGAAGGGAGTAGTTGTCGAGGACCCGGGTGTCCGGACGCATGGGGTAACTGAAAGAGACGTTCTCAAAATCGATGTTACCTGTGACATTTTGGGGTTGATCACCAGACTGGTCTAACGGATCTATCATCGACTTCCGATCGATGAGTCTGAAAAGTTCTACCGCTGCAGTAGCTGCTCGGGTGAAGTCGATGAGGTATGGAGTAATGGCGGTTAGGCTCGAAGCTGCGACGATGACTGACATTAGGACACTGAAAGGGGTCAGCAGCTATTCTTGGGTGTGATTGATGGTGCGCTCACATGAAAACATCTCCTGGTGCTTTAGTCTCGCCTCTCGCCAGCATGCCAATAGCTTGCCAAAAGCACAGTCCGATACCAGAAAAGAGAATAAAATATTCCGCCGAAAATAGGCATCCCAAAATAGGATTCTTCCTTCTTCCAAGCCGGGCCGATTTTTCGAGGTATGTGTTGAAGTCTGTGATCAGCCTAGATCGAAGCGCAAATGCCTGGACTGTACGAGCGCTAGCAAGAATGCTCTCCGCAAACGATCCAGCCTGCGAGTTCCAACCGAGGATCTGGATCTCAATCGCGGCTTCTAGATAGGATGCTACGCTCATCACAAAGATGGTAGCTGGTGCAATGCAGCCGGTGATGAGGGTTAGCTTCCAGTTAGTGACGAATGCTAGAACAAAAGCTGAGATGAAGGCAGATAGGCCCTGGATGACGAGTCCAAGCTTCTCTGAAATTCCAGCTTGAACCAGTTTACCATGAGAGGTAGCTTGCACTGCGACGGAGCCGCCAATGCCCGAGTCAAAGTAAGCTATCTCTTGAGTGAGTCCTGCTTTCAGGTATGCATGGCGAATATTGCGAGTGATCCGGTATGCGGCGAGGGTGAACAGGGTGCTGTAACCATAGGAAACCACAAATCGGCCGATACCAATCAGGAAGAAATAGAGCCTACTTTTGTTGGTTTCTGCCTCTTGAATTTAGTTATAGGTGAGCGTACGCAAGTCGTGCTGCTTCGCTGCGAAATTCTCCTGGCGAAGATGTGCCTGTGGTGAAATCGGTGATCACAGTGATAAACTGACCAAACACAAGATTCACCATGGCCATGCCAACGCCAGATGCAAGTGCGCAGGTTGTTGCAACGAGCTGCATGGAGAAATCGGTGTTGTCGCCATATCGAAATACTCTCTGTTGTAGGAATCCGAATCAGCTACAGATCCTGACACCAAGACATTCAAGAGGATGTATTCGGTTACGAAGTAGCTCGGCAGGGCTCCAGGATCGCCTTGAGCAGTAGTTCCATCCTGGACGCCAGTTTTGACGGATAATTTCTCCCGGGAGGTGCCCATTGAAGCTTGCTAATTGAAATTCAAATAGAGTAAAGAAGGACTTTGACAGTATCGGAGAAAGATGAGATGAAACAAAAAAAGGTGCGGTTCATCTGGGTAGTATTACCAGCCTTTAAGTGGCATGAGAGTTTTTAGCTCGGCAAGCTGAACTTGTTCACCAAGACTTACCGAGATGAACGTCTGCGCTCGCGGACGTGGGACAAACCGCCTCCGATAATTCCAACGCTACCGCTAAATTCCGTCTCCGTCAACAGCAATCATTCAAGCCTGTCGAAATATCGATGTCGATTACGTTGCCTTGGAATGAGTCCCGCAGGTCCAATACTGCGAAAAGGAGGAAGCGGCGTTTCGGAGGGAGTTCAGCTTGCGAAACCCCGCTTGCTAAGCTCACGTTTCCGCGGACAACAGATCGCCTTGCTCATGGAACCCACGGAGCCCGACGATGATATAGCTGGGGTCTCGCGCTCGAGGCACTACTCGATAGGTGTCGTCATTAACATAGAACTCCAGCTTACATGTTGTCAAGAGCGTCATGAATGAACCGCAGATCCCTTCTATTGCAATGCACAGATAGAGGACACTGGTAAGAAACACATTTGTTTCAATGGGCTAAGGTACCAATAATTGGGATTCTCTGCCGTAGACTTCGTTCACTCTTTCAGGTGTTCTAGTTGCGCTCAAACATCCAAGTGCCATCAAAAGAATTATTTACTCTGTCATGAAACGCGTGCATCCTTTTTCCCTCCTAACTTTTCGTTGCTACTTATATGTCCTTCATGTCGTTGATCAAACTAAAGACTAGTATTTGGCAAGTTCTGACACCCAGCTAGAAAGAATCTGCCTTAGGCTTTTCTGATTGACACTATCTACCATACAGTATTTCTAGCAACGATACGTAGTGTGTAAATAGCTTTGTTTCCCGCCATTATTTCCAGGATTATGGGGTCATGTTATCGGCCAACTTGCGAGAGATTCTTCTGGGCAACAGTCTATGTGAGAAAGCTTTCAAAGAGAGATTTCAAAATCTCTGGCTCTGATCACAGCTGTGGCGGTAGGGTCCGCCGAAGCAAACAGGCCGCTGAATGAATCTTCTTTACGTCCATTCGTAGCCCATTTCCATTCGTACTTGGTCAGGAGATAGACCAGGATGGCCTTGATCTCGTTGGACGCGAAGAATCGCCCAGGGCAGGAGTGCAGACCATGACCAAAGGCCAAGTGTTCTGGTCCGGTCGTCACGAATTGCCACTTGTTCTCCTGTCCTGGTTGTTGACGCATGTCTAGGAACCGCCGCGGATGGTAGCCAGAAGCATCATCAAACATAGCAGGGTCTTCCATCTTGTCAAGTGCAACCATTGTGTAGGCACCTTGGGGAATACGAGTTCCGTCGGAAAGTTCAATCGTTGTTGATGCCACACGGTGCATTGCCGCTGAATATGTAAGCAAAGGGAAGAACTGCATCATACAGGCCCTGGACTTACCAATGTCTCCCAGGTGATGACGTTGGGACTCTTTCATCATGCTATCTGTGAGCTTCATGTCTTGCAAAGCCTTCTTAGACCAACCGTGTGTTTTTATCGCCAAACACATCTCCTCTCGCAAAGGTTCGAACCACTGGGGATGGTCGCAGAGGTCAGAGATGATACCACTTAGCAGCTCCGAGGTTGTGTGAATTGCGGCAAATGAAAGTCCAAGCTGTGCGAGACCATCATCATAAGCCTGACCCTTGGCGACCTCATCCAGCCATCTAATGGTGTCGGCAACCTTTGTGGTTTTCTCACCTGCATCGTGAGCAATGCGATTGTCTTCCCTCCGCTTGGCAAAGACTGGCTTGATGATCTGTCGCGCACGAGAAGCCTCTGCCTTCAGGTTTCGAATTTCGGGCAGAAACCAATGAACGAAAGGTCGGAGGAAAGACGGCCACTTTGTCAAAGCCTCGGCGGCAACTATGGCGTGAACAGTATAGTTGACTGAAACATCCAACCATTCTTGGTTCGCGCACAACTCGGGGCCGACAAATACACGGGATGAAACGCGGGCTACCAGTAAGAGCACTGACTTGAACTGACACTCCGTCCAGTCTGTCAAATGTCAGCAAGGCTGTTGCAAAGGTGGGAGTCGTCGGGGTTAATCAATACCCTTGGGGGCGCCAAGAAGGTGGTCCATCGCCTGTGCGGTCTCCTCGGCCAGGTCTGTTGTGATGAAGTCTGTGTTGTTGTGTAAGTTCGGAGTCTTTTGCAAATTACGCAGCGTCGTCTTACTCAGAGATTGAGTCAATCTCCCTCTCACCATATCCACAAGTATCCGATCTTGGGGGCCGGCAGCGAACATCTCAAATCCGGGATAACTACCAAAGAATTCCTATCGCAACGTATGTTTTAATAGAAGCACATGATGCAAAAAAGACAAGAAAAACTATTTGTTGACGTACCTTGTGAATGGCCCTCCTGAAATCCATTCTGGTATCGTTTCGGATCTCATCTGCAAATTTGCCAGGCAGGACGATCTTTGGTCCTGAAGTTGTGATCACCTGGAAACAACCGGAGAACTGTTTGCATATCAGTACAGAAGCATACTGTTGGCTGAGGAAGTCGTTCACCTTCTTGAGCCCCTCGCGAAGGATGTTGGGACCGTCCACAAGCCATCTCTCACGGGCCTTTTGGAGGTCGCGATCCCCCCCGGGAGACAGTCCGGCAGTTGGAAAGCCCTCATGAAGACTATCTCTATACATGAAAAAGTAGAGGATCAAAGGCGCTATTGCAAGAAAAACATATTGTAAACCGAAGGTTTTACCCTCGCCAAGTAGAAGTGACTCCATATTGAGTGAGCGTAGGTTAAGTTAAGGACGACTGATTTGAAATCCTTGTGGGACACGGGTAGTTTGAATCATGGTGAAGCGCCATCTTTTTGCGAAAACCGCATTTCTTATAACTTGTCCAATTCTCGTGGTTGTTCTCGCTTGCAAATTCCACAGCTTCGCAGCGAGACTATCGGGTGCCGAAGGTTGAGAACTGCGACTACGTTGACACCTCTGATGGCGAACAGTCTGTTTTCTGTGGAACCGCTGTATGTTGTGACGATTAAGATGCATTTCGCCAAGTTGAAGTGTGGAGGAGCTGGAGCGAGGTTGTGCCACGGGCCACCGACTTGAGAAACTCTTCCGTCTCCGAAACTCCGACCAAGGCGGCCAAGGCGGTAAGTCAAGGAACCGAGATCCGACTAATTCGCATTTACCGGAATACGTCCGGTGTTTATGATGCTGGTAAATAGAGAACGCTCACAAATACTTCTGCCTCATACAGAGAAGATCCTTGATAAATCAGTGCTGGGCTAGCGTCTTGAACCCAGACTGCACCTCTAATTCTTCCCGTATGCGAAGGCCAAAGCGAGTATGAAACAAATGGCGACAACGGCATACATCAAAATTAATTAGTCGCGTTCGGTATAAATGTGAAAAGCATAGATATTTATTGTTCTTCCAGAATACCCAAGACCCTCTTCACACACCCCAGCAGTGCCAGCTTCATCATGATCACTATTCTCCAAGTGACATACTTCTGCGTATGATATTATGCAAATCTCACGACTTTGCCAATATCAAAGAGTTAAGGAGTTCTAAAGTCTCAGTGGAATGATAACCGAACCTTGGTATCACAGTCTTAACTTACGGTCGAAGGGCCAGAGTAGTGATCACGGCCCCAAACTACATACCAGCCCGCGGAGAAGATGGCACAGGCCACAAAGACAACAGATGCATAATTAACAGACGCTGCCGTGACAGGAAGGGGGGATGGCATGCAGAATAAGGGTACCGCCAACAGAGACCAACCTAAAAAAAATAATTAGTTCGAGACATTGAACGAAGGACAGGGGCGCATACCTATGCTCACAATATTGCAGAAGTATCCCATCCTTCCGAGATTGAATGCTGCCGTCTTCAAGCTCTTACGCCTTGTCGCAAGGCTGATCGCGATTGGTGCTGCGTACGAGCACGTCAGGCAAATGACACCCACGCCCGAAAATGCGCTGAACGCGACTGGGGACCCGAAGTATATGAAGCCTAGCAAAATCTCGACAGCCATACAGGCCATCATCGCATTTAGCGGAACCTCAAATGTTGGGTGAATCTGTCTCCACCATCGAGAGCCCGGTATGGCGCCGTCTCTTGCAAATGCCCAAGTACATCGCGAGGACGCTGTGGAGCAGCCGATGCCACAGATGATTCCCAGTACTACTAGTGGCATGAGTAGAGCGAAAGCGCCGCCTGGCGAACCAACGGCGGTTTTTATTATCATCGGAACGGGTTGGCCAGCGGATACGGCCAGTAGTTGTTGAATGTCGGGTAGCATGAACATAAGAGGAATCAGAAACAAAAGGCTAGCGACCGTGTTGATATAGGCCGTTGCCACTATGGCTCGGGGTACTTGGACTGAGGGTAGCCGAACCTCCTCACACATACTGCGCAGAGACGCAAGTTAGTCAGCATTCTTAGACTAAGTTTGTTAAGAAGACTTACGATATAATCATGCCGGTTGACGATGTAGCATAGCCAGCATGCATGAGACCAATGCAGAAGGACCATGCATGAGGCCACCCAGATTGTGTCTCGAAATGGGTAAAAACGTATGCGGCTGAATGTCGGCCATTCTTTGCAACAGCAAGAACAGCAATAGCAATAGCAAAAACTCCGGCGAATGTCCAGAATATGGCAGCCGTCTAACTGTACTTCAGCGAGCACCTTCAATGGTATGAGTAGGAAGCAGACTCACGTCAATCCATGGTAGCTAACGATTTCCGAGAGACGAGACGGCGTTACACAATAATGTTATAGCGACGAAGATGAGGAAGACTTGGTATGTTTCACCAGGAAATATTCCTTTGCCGGATTCGGACTCAAAAACGTTGATGCACGCACCAAAGAATTGCGCAGTTCCAAAATTCACAGAAAGAGTGATAGACATGTTTCCCACCACAAACAGCCAGCCACAGATCCAGCTTGCGAGCGCCCGATACTTGGGCGGCGTTAACATTGCTGCTTGGTAATAGACACCTACATGCCACGTCAGGTACTTGAAGGAACGAATATTGTTGGCAAACACCATGGACAAGATGAAAGTTGAAGCTCGTACCTCCCGCAGTTGGATACACACTGGTGATCTCGCCAAGAGAGGCGGCAACGCATATGACAATCAGCGCAACCAGGAGCCATCCCCAGATAATGTTCACTGGACCGCCTCCTATGAGAGGATAGCTCAAGGTGGTCGCGAGGCCGTAAGGATTCGCTGCTAACACAAAGGCCATGAAAGCGACGTGAGCCGTAGACCGGTTTCGCTTGAGTTGGGGGTCGTATCCAAGATGGCCAAGGAGATCATCGGCCAGCGTCTCGCCAGAACCATCTCCACTGCCACGACTATCGCATAAGTCCTCGCAGTAGCGTGACTTGGCGTTAACAGCAGAAGAGTCGAGAACGCCCGGATCTTGCGTTATGATCTGCGACATTTTGAGGAGTTTTGCGGTCGAATGTGTGGCGAAGATAGTGAAGGGAGTCGTCAGGCATAAGCTCAATGTGACTTCGGAAGGTGCGGTTTACGTGTGGAAGTTTTCGAAGAGGAGGGTTTTGCTCAGAAGCTTTGCTGATGAACCATGTGCGCGAGCCCTTGCGACGTTGCCTTCAATGCTGCCATCCTTTCGGTGACGTGGCATCAGGCCTCCGTGCCTGCTTCTAAGGGCAAGCCAAAGAAGGAAATTTGCTGAATCACTCATCATTCATTGCCCCTGAGCTTCTGCCAAAAGCATGCAATACAATCTTGGATGATGGATATCCAATCATCGGTGCGCGGGCGGGCCGAGCCCGGAACGGCATGGCAGTGCTGTACGGAGAGCTCGGCCCCCCGAAACTCCGCACTTGACCCCACTTTCTTGCATGTATGCGAGACGGTAGTCGGCCGGGCCTGGGCCTGAGGCCCAAATCCTAGCCTGAATCCCACCTTTATATAAGGGATCAGCTACACTACTTTATAGCTAGCTACGCCTAGCGCTTATAGCTAGATTAATTAAACTACTTTATATAGGTTATAAGCCCTCTAAATACCTAAATCTATTTACTAAATAGTAAGGTTATTCCTAAGTAGCTATTAGAACTCTAACTTTATAGTTTAGTAATTACTAAAAAGTAATTAATAGATTATTAAGCTACTAAAAATAATATTTTTAAGTAGAAATTATAGCTATTATAATATATATTTTTTATTTATAAAATCTCTTTAGTTTTTAAACTATTAAAGTTAATAATTATTTAATAATTACTATAGTTATATAGTAATAACTACTTAATAACTATTTAATAATTACTCTTAATTATTACTTAAATCTCTCTTAAACTACTAAATTAATTAAATAAAATAATATATCTTTAACTAATAATCTAACTCTATTTTCTTTTAGCTTTATTAAAAGGGGATTATTTTAAATTAACCTTCCCTCTTTTTCTATTATAAACTTTATAGTTAGAGTAGCTATATAAAAAGTAACTAATAAGGGATTAAATCTAAGAAGTTTAATATATAATATTATCCTTAAACTAACTAAAACTATAAATTTTAAGCTATAAGAGATTAATCTTAAGAATATTTTTAAAATAATAAAATTACTTTTTTACTTAATAGCTAAAAAGATACTAAATAGATATAATAAAAATATAGTTTTTAAAAAAGATAAAATAGTAGTAATTAAGGATTTAAATTTTTTAAGTAATCTAATATTTATAGGTTTTATACTTACTAAATAGTTATTTATAGAAAAAATCTAATATAATTTTTTAAAAGAAATAATTAATAATAGTTTTTCTATTATAGCTTTAGCTTTCTATATCTTTATTAAAACTAAAGAATATACTTAGAAGTTTAATAAACTAGTTATAAGTAAAATCTATAATAATTAGAATAAAATAACTAAAGTTAATTATAGTAATATTAAAGATTTTATATAAGATCTTTACTTAACTTTTAATAAACTAAATAGTTCTAATATAAGCTTATTAACTATAGCCCTTACTTATAAATTTATTTAAAGTTTTAAATGTTTTAATTAAGTTAAAGTAGATTTTATAAAGAATAACTTTATTATAAGGATTTAAAGCTATAATAATTTCTTATAAAAGTTTTAAAACTTAAGTAAAAAAGAATAATATAAATAAGCTTTTTAAAGTATTAAAACTTTATTAAATAAAAAGAAGTTTATTATAAAGAAGTAAACTTAAATACCTAAGTTTAAAAATACTAAAGTATAAGATCCCTATATCTTATATAGTATTAAGTATTTTAAAGACTTTTATAAGTATAAGATATATAGCTACTATTATAGAAAAATAACTTTATACTTTAATAAATATAATAAATACTCCTTTAAGTATTATAAATATTATATTTTATTATATAATAAGTTTAAATATATTAATAGACTATAAACTTAGTAATTAATAACTTAAGTATCTATTTTAGTATTTATTTTAAAAGGTTAAACCTAAGATAGTATTTTTAGAAACTTTAGTATTAAATAAGATATTAATTAATAATTTAAAGTTTATATAGATACCTTAATAGCTTAAGCTTAGAAGAGGACCTTTCTATTATTCTTAATAAATAAATTTAAAGTATTTAGTTTATATTTTAATCTTTAATTTCTTACTAAAGATCTATATAAAGTTAATTATATATAAAGAGTTAAAAAGTAATTAATAAAGAAGTTTAAACTCTATATCTATAGATCTACTAGCTAAACTACTAAAATAGAAACTAATAGTTTCTTTATATATAATACTATTAAAGAAGCTAATAAAAAAGAAAATAATAGTTAAGAAGTATAACTAAACTAATATATTATATTTATAGCCTCTATTAAGAGAATAAACTCCTTTATACTAAATATTAATACTAATAGGTATATCTTTAATAATCTCTCTATCTTTAAGAACTTTTAAGATCTCTTTTAAGGATTAACTATAAACTATATAAATAAAAAAAACTAAATTAGCTAAGTTATTAGTATAACTAAAGTAATTACTATTAAGCTAAATAGTAAAAAAACTACTTTCTAACTATATAATACTTTTTATAAACCTTATAATATAGTATAAATTATTAGTATTAATTTTCTTTAGAAAATAAATATCTATTTTAATAGTTTAAATAATACTTTAATTTATAAAGATATATTTAAAGCTATTACTAATTTTAAATAAGATATATAAATCTTTTAACTTTAGATCTATCCCTTTAATTAGAGTAATAAATTTAGCTCTCTTAAGCTAAATTACTAAACTTTTTATACTTATCTAAAATATCTATTTAAAGAAGTAACTATTACTACTATAAAAAATATTAATATAAACTTCTTTAGAATACCTCTTATAGGATATAAATATTATATCTATTTTATAGTAAAGTTAATATAATAACTTAGAAATAAATAATAAGAACTACTAACTTAGGCTTTTTAAAAGCTCTAAATTAACTTCTTAGAACTAATACTATAAAGTTTTAGAGGTATTACTTATAGTTTCTATATTATAGAAGCTTTTTTAACTTATAAATAGTTTTAAATATTTAAATTAAAGAAAAAAGTAGCTATTTAGCTATAAAGCTAGTTCTTAAAGAAGATTATAATAATAAATAATATTATTTACTTCTTTAAAGTTATTATAAATAATAATATAGCTTTTCTTAAAATAATAAAACTTTTTACTTAAGAATAAGGTTTCTATTTAAAAATAGTAGTTTTTTACTCTTATTAGTAAAATAAAGAGGTAGAAAGCTTTAATAGAGCTATATAGTAAAAAGTATAAGTAATATATATAAAAGCTAGCTTTCTTAAGTCTTTTTAGCTTTAGTTAATAAAGATTTCTATAAAAATTAGAAATCTACTATCTAATAATAAGGGTAATATTAATCTTTATAAAAAATTAGTAAATATCTTTAATATATCTCTTATTATAAGAAAACTATATATATACTATTTCTACTACTAAAGCTATTAAGCTTATATCTATATTTATTTAAATAGCTATTTATATATAAAGAAGTAGAAAATAAAGCTTAAAACTAAACTTAGAAGATTTATAAGATATAATAGCCTCTATAGTAATATTTTTTATATTCTTATTAAAAGGATTAATAATATTTAGTAAGTAAGAAATATAGTATTTAAAGAAAATAAAAGAGAGCTTCTCTTAGTTAAATTTAATAACTTATAGCTAAGAGAAGAAGTTAAATTAGAGATTTATAAATATAATAATAAATTATTAATAGTAATATATAAAGCTAAGTTTTAGCTTTATACTATAAATATTAAGTTTTATTATTATTATTATTCTACTAAATAAGATTAATAATAAGAGGAACTAAGTAATTTATACTTAAAAGAAGCTTAAGATTTAGAGGGTAATAATAAATAAAAATAAGAAAATAAGCCTCCTTAAGAATAAAAAGAAGTTAGTAGTAAAGAGAGTAGTTTACTAACTTTAAATCTAAAACTATACTTATTAATATTAAATATTAATATTATAAATATATAAGTATAATTAATACTAAAAAAAGTTTCTTTTTTATAGTAATATTCTCTTATTACTCTTCTAAAGTAATATTCTCTTATTACTCCTTTAAAGTAGAGATCTCTAGCTACTCCTTAGAGATAATAATTACTAGCTAATATTTTATAATAATAAAGCTCTCTTAATATTTTACTTTAAACTCTTCTTTTAATATAAAGAAAACTAAAGGGAAGATTAAAAAGTAGTAATAGAGGTTCTACTTTTATAAAATTACTAAGAATAACTACTTCTTCTTCTAGTTAAATAACTTAAATACTTAGAACTTAAATATTATATAATATAAAGAAGTTTAATAAGGAATTTAGTAAGATAGAAGCTATAAAGATTAATTTAATTAATAATAAAATAGACTAAGAACTAATTATTTTTACTTTCTTAGTATTTAACTTATTATAAGCTTTTAGCTTAGAGATTTACTTACTTATAACTTTTAGAAAATAGGAGGTAATAAAAGAAAAACCTCTAAAATTAGCTATTTTTAATATTATAAAAATTTAAGTTAATAGCTTATAGGGGATAAATTACTAATAGCTTAAAAAGCTTCTAGATAGTTTTAAATATCTCTTAAGTAAATAGGTATATAATAAGAAGGTTATTATAAATAGAAGACTTAATAGAGTTAAAATAAGATAGGTTATCTATAATAACTTTTAAAATAAAGATAATAAGATAGTTTATATTATTATTATTAATCTTATTACTTTATAAGTCTTTTTACTAATTATAATACTTAAAAATCTAGAATTTTACTAAGTTAATATAGTTATAGCTTTCCTAAATACCTTTATAGGAGATTAAGATATCTTTATTACTTAACTTTATAGGTTTAATAATAGATCTAGCTAGTTCTATAGATTAAAAAGAGCTCTCTATAGACTAAGAGAATTTCCTCTTCTCTAGTATAAGTAAATTATTATTATCTTTAAATAATTAAAGTTCTATTTATTACTAAAAAAACCTTATATTCTTATTAATAAGAATAATATTATAATATTACTTTATATTAATAATATACTTATTATAGTATTTAATATTAAATAAATTAATAACTTTAAAAATAACTTATATAACTTCTTTTAGATTAAAGATTTAAGTAAAGTATAATAATTCCTTAGGTTTAAGATTATTTACTACTATAAAATAAAATAACTTTAGATCTTATAAGCTAAATATATTAATAATATACTAATAGAGAAAAATATTACTAAATATAACTAAATACTTTATTATTTTAGTAATATTTAGTTATTAGAGATTATAGAATAATATAAAATACTTATTAAGATATATAAATATTAAAGTAATCTAAATAAGTTATAATAGATTATAAATAGTATATAACTAAATATTATAATATTTATAAGTAAAACTACTAAAGATTAATAATATACTTCTAAAAAGTATAATAAACTACTAAGATTAATATAGAGATATCTCTATAGTTTATAATAACTAATACTCTACTTTAGTAGTTTAAGATACTCTATTAATAACCTTAAATTATTAGTATTCTATAATACTAGTTAGTCTAATTATAAAAGAATAAGTAAATTAATAGCTAGTTATATAGTTATATATAGAAGAGCACTAATTACTTAGAAATTAGTATTATAATTATTTATAGCTATATTAACTTATAAGGCTAAATAGATAAATTTAATACTTAGAGGGAAAGCTTTACTATATATTATAAATCTTTTTAAAAGGATAAATATCTCTATTTAATTACCCCTCTAAGTATATATAGATTTTATAAATACCTTTAATAATTATTTATTAAGTAAATAATTACCTAAACTACACTATATTAAGATTAAGTATTACTAAATTATTAATAATATTAGTAATAAGGATTTTAAGATTAATTATATCTTAACTTATAAAATAGTTACTAATAGTTTTACTAAACTATTAATAGTAGAGAAATATTATAACTTTATTAAAATACTAAGTTTATTTAAACTACTTATAACTAATAATAAATCCTAATCTAAAAATAATATTTTAAGACTTAATCTTAATTAAGTCCCTTCTATTTATTTATTTCTTTTATATATAATAACTTTATTCCTTTATATTTTACTAACTAATTAACTTTTATAATTAGACTTTATATTATTTTAATCACCTTAATTTGCTCTATTTAATAGTTAAATTATTAATTATAAATATCTTTTATATAAGAAGTTATTTAATAATAAAAGCTTAAAAGGTAATTAAAAACTATAACTTTACTAAATTATAAGTTTATTACTAAGTTAGAAATCTTAGTTAGTATTTCTCTAAGTTATAACTATATTAAGTTTAACTAATAAAAGTTAATTAACTTTAGACTTAAATAAAATTAATATAAGTTTAAAGTTTAAAAGAACAAAAAATTAATTAACTAAACTTTAAAAATATTATAAAAAGATTAATTTTTAAAGTAATATTAATTAAGAACTATTATATTTAATATTTAACTTAATATAATTAGTAGATTAGAAGAGAGGTATTATAAAGCTAATTAATAACTTAAAAATTACTACTTTTAGAGAGAGAAAGCTATTTAAAATATAAAATCTAAGATTAAACTAAAGAGGATAATTTTTAGATTTATCTAAATTAAAAGTTAACTCTATAAAAGGGTTTTAAATAGTAAACCTCTAAATTACTAGCTTAAAAACTTAACTTAAGTTAAAAGTAGAAAATAATACTAATTATACTAAGTAGCTATCTAATTATCTTTATAGAGATAACTTAAATAGTAATTATAATATTAATTAGCTATATAAAAACTAAAAAGGGTTAAGAAGTATTTTAGAGTTAAAATAGGATAATAATAGTAATATAGAAGAGTAAGAATAATATATAGAAGTAAGAATAATATAAAACTACTATATAATTAATTAGATTATTACTTTAGAATAGGAATAGCTTCACTTAGAGTACTAGAAGTATTAGCTAAAAGGGGGGTATAAAATAGTAGTTAGCTAAGCTTAAGCTTAAAGCCTAAATCCTAGCCTAAATCCCACCTTTATATAAGAGATTAGCTACACTACTTTATAGCTAGCTACGCTTAGCGCTTATAGCTAGATTAATCAAGCTACTTCACGCAATATATAACATTTTATAAAGAATTCTTTTGTGAATTTTTATATAACTAGGGATATATAAGAGGTCCTCTTTACTCTAACTACCCCCTATATATCTAACTACCTTTATTAACTACTACTTTATTAAACTATAATACTACTTTAAGTTCTACTAATAAGCTCTTTTATTTTAGATAGTTTAACTAATTTATTTTATAATACTAATTATTAGTTATTTTATTATTTTTAAATACTTTAGTAATATCTTTAAACTTATTAAATATTTTAAAAAGAAATAGATTATTATAACTATATTAGTAGAGGATAATATATACTAATAAGTAATAGAAAAATAATATTTTTTTAAATTTATTATAGTTCTAAAGAAAAAGGTATTTACTTTAAAACTTATAAATATTATCCTCTTTTTCTCTAATAAGCTAAGTAAAGCTATTACTATTTTTAAAATAATAGTTATAGAAGTAGTAAATATAGTATTATTTTAGTATTTTAATATAATAAGTTATAGTAGTATAAAGAGGGAAATACTTACTCCTTATAATTAAAATAATTCGCGCTCTCTTTATATACCCCTATAAGTAGCTATAGAGGTTTCTCTGTGAAGCTTAGGCTATCCTAGCCCTCGATTATTCCCTATAAGAGTTATACGGCAGTTAATAAGGTGCGCCTCTAGGCGGTAAACTGCGGAAGAAAAGTTAGAAGGGAAGAAAGATTCTTGCATGTATAAGGAAGCTTGCCTCCGTCTCCGATCCGTTCGATTGTCTTCCAGGTCTTTCACCCCTTGCCTCGTCGGGTGTGGTTGCCATCTTTTACCCCGATACAAGCTGAGATTTGCCACGTTTGGTAACCATCTCCTTGATTTGGCACCGATTAGGCCTATCAGTAGTCCAACGATGGAGACTTCGCAAGAAACCGCAGACGCTGGTCCAAATCCAGTCACGGAGCATGCTGAGCGTGGGGGCAGCGAGCGTCACAATCTTTCCGTGAGTGGAGTTCTGTTCATTTGCCTTCTATCTCGTTTGAATTTTCCTGGAACGAAAGAGCCGAATTGTTGTACCCGCGTGGCGTGCCGAATTTGTGCTGTGAACGGGGCAGAACTGACTGACACAACTGGTTTTGACAGTGTGACAATTGCCGCCTGCGAAAGGTACTTGTTCCACAGGATTGAAACAAGATAACGAACTCGACTGTTTTGAAATTGACGGCCTTTTATCAGGTTGGCTGTGATCGCCAAAAGCCGTGTTCACGATGCCGCCGCCTAGATGTACGGTGCACATACATGATGGGATACAAGGCAAGACCAAAGCGAGAACGCAGTGGTGTCTCGCTGGGTCATCTGTAGGTCATGCATGCTATTTTATCATCGATCTTAGCTAAGCCCATGCAAGTGAGGAAAAGGTAGATGACATTGCTGAAAGGCTTCAAAAGCTGTGCATCATGTTGGAGGACAGCAGTCGGCCCAAACCGATCAAGTCAACACCCGATCTCACGGGTTCGAGCGGAAGTCATCAGGCTCGAGCAGACTCAGGGACAAGTTATCAAGGAAGTCATCAGGATCCCCAAACTCCTTGCGATCAGGTCGAGTATGAGGGTGACTCATCTTTAGCTGCCCACGCGGACTTCACGACTCGAGTTTTGGAGAATGCTGTGACTACGGACCTACCCATCTCCCACTACGACGAAATGGCGTCCATGATGAAGGATATTCGAAACACTATCAGGACATTTGGTGCCCTTAATACTGATATGGCAGGTATTTGTCACGGAACGTCGCACGCCGGTGAACACTGCCCGCAGGAATCGCTGCCTCCCGTGCAGCTCACGTTGAACTGTTTACGCATGCTGAAAGGTTAGTGAAGTAAATGTTTGCTGGCGGTATCCACTAGACGTTGCGGTGCCGTACAAGCTGTCCATGATTAACACCACCGTCACAGAGACTCCAATGATGAGGTACTTCTGGATGATGCAGTTCGAATCTGTAGGCCAAGTCACTGAACAGTTGCTTGGTGTCTACTCAACTGATAGAGCCCCATCGATGGCGGAGTTGATCATCGCATCTATCGGTCTTTACTGGTTGTTTACTCAAAGTGGTCAATTCTCAACCGATACCTCTGTTCAACCGATGTATCTGCATTATGGCACTGCATGTCAGAGTTATGCAAATTCTGTCCTCTCGCAACTCTCCTTCCATCTTCCCACATCGGTAGAATACATTCTCGCCCTCACAATGGCTGTAAGTGCGGCCCATCTATCCTGACCACAGCGGCCCATTATAGGTACACAGGTCATTGTGCAGGATTATTCTGACAGGGCGTGTAAAATCCAGACCGAATATTGTATGGGCCAGTGTAAACCAACTATGGCATGGACCTACATCAGTACAGCATCTCGAATGAGTCAAGCTATGGGCTTACACCGCATAGCTTCTCAACAGGACCACAGCTTTGACTCTGAAACTCGTCAAAAGTCCAAACTGTTCTGGGCCATGTTCATATTGGAGAAAAATCTTTCCCTGCAACTCGGCCGATCTTCCACTCTCCGCGATCACGACATCACGGTCCCACTGAAGGCCATCAAGATGGGATACCAGATAGGGGGCTCGCTAGGCGTTCTTTCTCCAAAATGGCTACGAATGTCGCAAATTGAGGGCAGGGTGTACGATGAGATCTACAGTCCAGAAGCACTACATCAATGCGCCAGCACGAGGAACTCCCGAGCTCGGAGTCTGATAGCTGACCTGAAGGAGACCGTCAATGATACAGACTCTTACGAGGTACGTAGTGTCCAACAATCTTCGTAGTTTGACTCTTCTTTTCGTGTCGCTGATTCGATTGTGTAGAGCGAGTTCCCTCAAGAAAGAAGACGAATACTCGGAAACACAATCGACGACATCTTCATTCAATGCGACAAGATCTCACACCTATCTCTTATGTGCTTGATTTACCGTAGTATTTGCCAGAACGACGTACCTTTCTGCGAAGAGTGCATCAGCACAGCTAGAGAGGCTCTTGAAGAACACACAAGAAGCATGTCTCTGATCGATTCCCGCGACACCCACCTATTTGACATGTGTATCAATTGGTTGCTTCTACAAGTCCCATACTTTCAAAGTTTCACGAGCTGACGTCTGCGCGCAGGACGCTTCTTTCATCCACCTTCGTCCCATTCTTTGCCATCCTTTGCAATGCAATTTGGACAGTGAACACCGTAGACCTCGAGCTCCTAGGCTCGTTAGTCAGTTCTCTGGAGGCTGGTCAGGACCGGGATACATTTAGCGCCAATCACCTGCTTAAAACCTTCCAACCGTTGTACAATGCAGCGTTCAAGTACATTGAGGCAAAGTCTCATTCTGCCTCAAGGGCGGTATCCGATAACATTACCTTCGAAATGATATATCACCAAACAGCACCTGTGGCAGATCCAGTACATTGGCACAACATCTCGGCGCTGACATCGCTCGATCAGTTCATGTCGCATTCGGCCTCATCCGCGGCGATGGCTCTTGATGGCACCGGCTTCACTGATCTAAACAGTAGCTCATCTGCGTCACAGCCACAGCCGACTGAGGCTACTATCGATGACACAAATTTGGCCCAATCTAGTAATGCTCACCAGATTACCGAAGCAAGGATGCAGGCTACTCAATTGGAGGAGTGGTTTCTTCAAAGCCGCCACATTATGGACATGATGGAGGATGCTCGTGATTCTTGAACCTCAGGCATACTGCACAAATATGTATTTCACTTGACTGATTTGGATCATACTTTGCGTACTCGATAGATATTCTCGATAAAGTCAGCATGCTCGGTCGCTTCCTCGCCTTCCGTCTCGACCTGCAAACCGCACTGAGTTCATGACAGTCTGGCATAGCCTCTGAGGGTTTATGCAGCTAGCCCATCAAGCAGGCCCATAATCTTCTTCTTCGTCCTCCTCCACCAGCTTCGTTCGGAATTCTACTAAGGCATCATAACACTCCTGTCGTCGGAAACTAGCCTGGTTCGGCCATCCATGAGCTCGGTAGATGTTGCGAGCGTCCTACAACCATTCGCGATGCCGTCAGTATGACATGCCACCAGAGCACATGCGAGATACTAAAGCTAAGAAGAAAGACACATACCTCAATCCCGGGTTCTGCCAAGTCGTCTTCCTCTTCCTCCCGCTCTCGAATCGCTCCCCAAATTTCAGGATAATACTCTGCGTCCTCCGTGTCAGGACGAGGCAAAGGCACCAAGTCAAGAGAATACAGGCTGTCAACGAGCGCATCAAAGAACGGTCCGGCAGGTCGCGGCGGTGTCCACAGCCAGGGCTGGTCACTCGGGGCATCCTGGACTTGCTTGTTGCCATCATCATAGACAATGACGGTGCCAGCATTGGTATCGATGATCCACCACTCGCCGCTATCGCTGCCCTCGCCGCCGCCGCCCGCGATGGGGACCAGACCATCAGGCATCTTCTCGGCGAAAGGGAAGAGACCGTGGGCGCACAGGCGCTCGGGGGTAGCCTTGTCCGCCGTGAAGTTCCCGTTCAATTCGGGGTTGTCCTCAAGGTAACGCTGCGGTTCGCTGCGACCTATAACGGGCCAGCGGTTATCTTCGTGGGTCTCATCGACGTCAAGATATGGCAGGTGTCGTAGCAGGTCAATAACACGGTCGTTGAAGCTCAGAAGGCGCGTCTTATCGGCCGGCAGGAAGGTATCGTCAACCCAGCGCCCGCCTGGCGGGTACTGTATTAGCGATGCAGGAAAGAAGGCCATCTGGGCCAGCGTTTCGTAGTACTTCGTCAGGCCGGCAACGATGACGTCCCTATCATAGCCAGCGGGGTACGTCGTAGGATCTCTTCTCTCTCTTGGCGGCGGACGAGATTCGTGCCGGGAGGCCTCTGCCTTTCGCTTTCTCGACTCGCGTTCTTGTCGATCCTTCAAAAAGTCTTTCAAGTCTTTCCGGCATTTCTCACGATCAAAGGCTGTTCCAGGTCCGCGGCCGTGCTGCCATCCCGCCAGCATGTAGGTCTGGTACATGGAGGAGGCAATCTCTCGGCGATCAGGGGTGGAGAAGTCAGGCGCGATGCCGTCGACCAGGCCGGGAATGGGGTAGTAGTCTTTGCCGAGCATCGTGGTGACCTCTGCGAAAAAGTCCCCCGGGCTGTAAGATGGTGCCTTTTTCCACTCGGTCTCGAACTCCTTCCCCAAGGCCTCGCCGCGTGGTGGTCCCGCGTACTTGACAATCCGACCACTGTTACAGTCCACAAGCCACCATTGCGGACCGTAAAGCGTGTATTCGCCGGCAGGGTACGTTAAGCTGATCATGTCCGGAGGAAGGTGAACTAGTTCAAACAAGCCCTCCAAGTGTTCCTCCAGCAGCGAGCTGCGCTCTCGCAAGTATCGCATGGCTTTAGTCTTGGGGAATATGGGCCATTGCCCCGTATGAGGGCCTGCATCGACGGGCCGCAAGTAGGGAAGGTGGCGTAGGAGGTCCACGGCAGTATCAGACCGGCCTAGGGTAGTTCTTAGGCCATCCACGTCTAGCTCAGAGTCGGTCCATCCCTCGGGCGGGGGGTATTGGATATCGACGTGCGATAGATATGGCGTTGTGGCTAACTTGGTGTAAAATTGCGTGAGGCCTTGGGCTACGTCGCGATGGAACGATACGCTCTCCATGGGGAGCGTAACCATGGGGAGAGTTGAGATGTGGTCAAAATTTCAGGAAGCCTGTGACTTGTACAATCGGGTTTCAAAATCCAACTGTTAACACCTTGGAGCACGAGAGAAAACGTGGCGGGCGGGGGTAAACGTAAACAAACATTTACATTGGCTATCTGCAGCCGGCCGGTGATCACTTTATGCTCGGAGAATGGCAGAAGGTGAAAATGAGAGGATACTTGGGGGGTCATCGGGGCTTTATATGGAAGAAGCTAGCATGTCTTGGCTTGCATCCCTCTTGCATGCATGATGCACCCCTGGCAGTAACCACGTTGATCAAGCCCGGGGCTCTGCAGGAAAACAAGACCGACCACAACACCAATCTTCTTGATTGCCCAATGACAAAGGAGCTAATTGGGAAAAATGAAATTCATACAAAGTATAGCTTTCTACATCACCTTACATCAGTTTGTCTATAGCAGCGGGGCCGCGCGCAGGCGTGATAAGCGCCGCCGCTTCGGCCGCTACCTCCGTCGCCGTCGCCAGCGCGTCGGCGACCCACTCCGTCACGCGCGGATCCCCGCCGTCGCACGTGGTCTGCCGCGGCGACTCGACATTCTCATCAGCAGTCGCCGTGGCCGTGGCCTCCACCCGTTCGGCAGCCCGAGCTGTGACCTGCGCATATGGCAGAGATGCATGGCCTTGTCTTTGCACGGGGGGTACCCAAGGTGCTCAGGAGCTCCTCCTCGGTCGGCCGCCGCGTGCTATTTCCCTTATCAACGCGAAAGTCGTCAGGGCCCGGCTCACTCTGGCGCGCCAGCGCGTCTCGTCGATGACGAAGGTGAGGTCGCCGGCGTCGCTATTGCGCCATGATCCTCATCAGCTACCATGTTAACAAGGGCGTTGTGGTCCTACCTAAGTCAGTGGCGGAGAAGCGTATTTCTTTCAACAAGGAGGTCATCTCGCTTTCCAAGGAATATCTGGACTTACTTGACGGATTGGCCGCCATGGGAAAGGCCAAGAGAATTAACACGCCTCTTTGCGGCTTCGACCTTTCGCCGACTAGTATGCCCTTATCAAATTGCAGTAATCCATGGTGGAGCGTAGTCAGAACAGCTAAAAGATAAATTAAATCATACAGTACCTTCGTGCCATTGAATCAAATTCACAGTTAAAACTTAGCCATTCCGTTCCTTATAGCTTTGCTCGGGTCCGTCCAAAGCCTTCCACTAACGCAGCCCTTGTTCAAGGCATCCAGTCCAGCTGGAATATCTGCGAAGTCGATCTCACACAACTCCAGCGGGACTTTTCCATCTGCCAACAGTTTGAAAACAGCCCTCAAGTCATCCTGACTGGCGCCAAACGAACCGATTATGCTGATGCTGCGTGTTACCAACGCCGTGACGGAGACTGTGATGCTGGACGCCGCCAGGCCGACAACCACCACTTTGCCACCTTTCCTGGTTTTCTCAACAGCCATACTTGTGGTCTGCCCTGTGCCAGCAAAATCGATAATGACGTCAAAGTCCACGCCCCTAGCTTCATCTAGGTTTTCGAAGCACTCGTGAGCACCCAGGCGGACTGCCTCCTTCAACTTCGTGGGAACCACATCAACGGCGTATACATCCGCTCCTAGCAGGACAGCAAATACAAGTCCCGACATGCCTAGCCCTCCGATACCAATGATGCAGACCGTCATCCCCGGGCGCACATTAGCTTCGACTACCACAGCGTGATACGCAGTCGCCATGGCATCCGTTGCGACCGCCGCTTGTGCGAAGGATACATTTTCAGGTATTCGTTCCAGAAGTGCCGCAGACGCGAGCGCATATTCGGCATAGCCCCCGTCACAACCTAGACCGGGTGCTGATGTCCATTCTTGGCTCTCGAAGGGATGGGAACGCAAGCCTATCGCTACTCGATCGCCAGGCTGAAACCCACTGACTTCAGATCCAGCGGACGCAACAATCCCAGACACCTCATGTCCAAGAGTGATTGGCGTTGTCACTAATCCGTCCCCTTTAAGTAGATGACAATCTGAATGGCAGAGCCCAGCTGCTTTGACCTGTATGAGGACCTGGCTCGGGCCTGGCTTAGGAATTGGGATGTGCCGAAGGCTCAATCCAGCGCGTGGTTTTTCAAATCGAAATGCTTTCATTGTCTAGCATTGACAGCCGTGTTAATAACAGGATACGTTATGTATGCGGCAATTTATCCGGTTGATGAAAACTTGCATGCAAAATACTCAGAGCTTCGGGCTCCATAAGATGTCCCGACGGTGCTTCTCATGTCATCAAACATGCCAGACCGAGGTCTACTTACGTCATAACGAATAGGTTGAGCCCGGCTCTTCCGATCTCATAACAAACTTCAGCGGCTACAACATCCTAGAAGTGGCACTGACATGCGGCGAATGATCTCCCGAAGATTCAGCCGAAGTCCATGCCCAAGGCTCGGCCGAGGTTAGGCCCGAGCTCTCTTTATTCAGACGATGAAGAATTATTTCACCGACTACGACATATGCTGCGACAATGATACCCTCTCTGAAGAATACACGGTCTATGTGAGTTGGCGTGTAGCGACAAAATAAATCAGTAGTCAGGCAAACAACTATCTATAATAGACAGCATTAAGCTTGACATGTACCTTAGCTCGCAGCATAAGTGGCGCCCACCAGGCAGGTCGGTTCCCCGCGGACACGGTTGCAGACGTGGGCTAGGTATTACTCTCCGCATCGATCATTTCAACAGGACGCTTTTGCATTAGGATTTCACATTTCCTCTACACTGATCATCACCACGCTATTTTACCCACCACGCAGTACAATGCTATCATCATTTCTGAGACATGTTAGCGTCTATTGCCATCGCACCCGCCCTGTCAGTCGCCAATAATTGCAATCTGCAAGTCATACGCGATGTTCCAATTTTCGAACCAGGAGGCGAGGAGGTTTTTGAAGTCTAGTTCTCAGTTGTCAATCCCGCCGATGCAAAGCATGCCCCGCTGATAGGCGTACGGTCCACTATCCTTGGTTACGACTTCAGCGGTGAAATCTTCAAAGCAATTCCCCGCCGTACCAAACTCGAATCCCGACTGCGAGCTGGGCCAATGGGTTGATATCTTCGCTACGCGTGAATCAACGCTCGCTGAAACTGATTTGGAGCGGTACAATGAGCTAGCTGAGCTGCGTGGCATCGCTACCGGCGACTTGATGGTGACAACGCGCAGTTCCTCCTGCATCATGGAGCCAGAAAGCCCATTGGATGATGAGGACTCGGATGAAGGCTGGTTCTGCGGATCACCCGCGTGTAAGCTTCTTCGGGTGAATGAAGGGATTACTTGGTGAGTGAATAAAATGGCTGAGTCTGTCACATTACTTGCATTCGTCAATCGCAGTGACTTTATTGCAGCGGCAGTTTTCCATGATACAAATCCCATCACTGCCGTACGTCTCGCTACCTAGGACCCAAACGTCCTTAAAGCATGTGACTTCCTATTCCCGAACCACTATGTCTGTATCACTCGTCGCGGTGGTTCTTGGAATGGTCCTCCGGCGTGGGAAATCCCTGACGATGGCGAAGGGCCTGTTCTTGGGGGACCGGGAAGCACTCCCAGTCTCTCCATTCTGGAAAACCCAATCTCGCCGCCCACAAATATGGAAGAAGGCATCGCGCCTGGCTGCAACCGCTACGTCCAGGCCAACATCACGATTGCCTCATGTTGGAAGATTACCAATGATGGCGGTACCTTGCAAGCGCGCTTGTTCGAGGTCGACCTCGTTCTCGGCAAGAAAGTTCAGTCTTTCTATACTCAGACCTCTAACCAGCCTTTCAACTAATTCGAAAGTACCCTGTCGGCCTCTCTTTCAACCAATAATCGTACTCGGGACTCCCTGGTTCTACTCCAGACCATTGCGTCTGGAAGTAATACTTGTGTGGGCCCTTATGTACAAGTATCATTCCAACTCTGGACCAAGTGTCATTACTTTCGGGTTGCAAAACCATCAAATAGTTCAAAGTCTCCCGATACTGACCCCAGTAGATGCATTGCCGGCCTCCATCTTCTAGACTTTTCAGAAAACTATGTGGATCCCCCGGCTTAGTTAACAAAAATAGGTTTATACTCCGTTGCGTTAACAGCGTCCGCCACCTACTTTCGTCCGGCAGGAAAATTTCCTACTAACCTAGAACCCCCCTAAATTACTCTAAACTTTATACTTTAATAATTCTATACGTATATAATACGTAAGAATAAAAAATATATTAATTAATAGTTTTTAATTAAGTAATTATAGTAATATCTTTTTTATCTTTATATATTTTATATATATAGAGTTATTAAAGTATAAAATTTTATAAATTTTAAAAAGTTTTTAGGTTAGTAAATACTAAACGTAACGTTAAAAAGAAAAAATAAAACCTTTAGTATATTATATTAAACTATCTACTCTAAAAACTCTTTAAAATTACCTTTTATTTTATATACTAATAACTCTATATATATATAATATATATAGCTAGAAATTTAATTAATTAGTTTACTAGTTAAAAGCTATTTAATAATATAATTTTTATTTATACGTATTATATATATATAGAGTTATTAGTGTATAAAGTTTAGGGCGATTTAGTAGTTTTTTAGTAAAAAGCCCTTTTTTTTGCCTTTTTTAGGCTAAAAACTGCGGGGTGGACGCTGTCAACGCAACGGAGTGTACACCCGACTGGCCTATCTTCAAACTCGGGAGCAGCGATGAGCCATCGTATGAAAATAGGGAAGAAGGGAACAGAGGTGCGCGAAATTGCAGATATGGGAGCCTTGAGTGCAATTCGTCTTCAACTCGTACACCCTGGCTGTATTTTGACAAATCGAAGATTGTTGCACTTCCAATGTCAATTGACACGGAGCTAACCTCGATACTGTCGCATGAGAACATGTGCCCTCCAATTGCTGCATCCATATCAATCTTGCCGCCACACCAACCAGCCCATGACCATGATGGAAAGCCCTCTCTCCGTCGTGGAAGATGCCTACTAAGACCGGGCCATTGATGCGTCCACGTCAGTGCTTCTAGGAAAGACTCCATGGCCTTGTCCGGTATGCACGAAAAGAACGGTATTCCATAAATTTGAGCGATGTGGTCTTTGCCACTTTCAAAGCTTCGGAAAATTCCGTTCATAGCCTTCAATGTGTCTGATTCGTACGTCAAGTGTCTATGGCTGTACTGTCGTGTTATGTCGCAGAAGCGAGCGAAATTCTGCATCGGCGAGATGACTTTTTCGTCGAAATGGCCATATTGTCGGTTATACTTCAGGTTGTGACCGAAGATGCCCCCCAGCATGATATGTCCGAACTTTGACCCGCGCTTCACGTGGAGCTTATCGAGTGAGGAAGCAAGACTTTCATTGCAATTCATAGCGGTACACTCGAAGTAGACTTGGTCATCTGTGAAGACAAGCCGCCGGCGACTCAGGACAGCCTCTTGAAGTGTCCAACCCCTTGTAGCCCACTTCGATGATGGGATTGACGAATGCGGATGCCGGAGTGTTGAAATGATATCGATATCTCTGACTGTGATGGTGGGATATGGCTCTCGGAGTCTGCTGCTAATTCCTGGAAGGCCATATGTCGGATCGGACCCTGCAGCTGCAATGATCGTCAACTCTGCATTGTGATAGATAGAGTCCATCTGGCTTATTTGGCCATGCTTCGCTACTTTGTCCTTCTGGTCGATGCAGAATTTGTCGACCCAAAGATAATCAAAGCCCATCCCGATGGTAACGTTCATGGCATCACTGATGACTGCTGGAAGATCTGTGAGGAGTGGTGTATCATCCGGGCACTCTGGAGACAAGGTTTCTGGTTCATTGCTTCCCGCCGAGGGAGGGCCCCATACGTAACTCAAAGCTACGTACTTCTGTTGTGATGAAGCCGATTCCACGACAAATGAGTGGCAGTTTATCAGCCGGAGTCCTTTAGTCGTACGTTTGATCCTCGAACACGAGCTTTTGTGGTGATGTTCGCAGTATTGAAGCCAGCTTTTGCCCAAAGAGAAGTCGAATCTTGGGCCAACAATTCGTGGTGCGAAAATGTCAGGCTGCGGAGAGCCACGTCGGCGGAAAATGAGAAAGCCTTGCTCATTTCCCCGTTCACCCATATTGATCCTGTTACTTAGCGTCCGGCTGATATTTGTACCAGATGGCACGACAGCAAGATAACGAGAATGATATCCTTCGAAGAGACGTTTCTTTTGTTTCGGCTTCGCGTTTTGATCAACCCATAGATTGTGGTGAGCAACGTCAAAAGCACGGAGCTCATCGCTGTCCAACGACAAATGTGGGTCAGGAAACAAATTATCAGCGGTGATCCGAGAGTCGCAGAGCAAGCGACACAAGTTGCAGCTAGGAACCGCTGGCTGACGGTAATATGTTCCAACGTCGGCAATTTTAATCTCAATTCTGTAAAGAGGAAGGTCGAGCCCTTTCTCCAGGGGAAGTTCCAAACATCGGGTGCAGAGTCCGCTTGTTGAGTAAGGATCTGCAGAACGTTTTTGAGTTGGAACCTCGGGTGTTGATAGCTTGCGCTTCGTGCCAGTAATAGGTATAGCAGCCATGGTTTGACTGGAGAGTTCTGGCGAGACTGAAAACAAAGATGCCGCCAACGGCTGTAAACTTAGGCAATCGTGGGACCTGTTTCGTTTAAATTCTGGCTTGCTGCCATTCAAGCGACTGACATGGTCGCGGGGTGTTTCTGTCGCAAACGGGAACCATCGATTATTTATGCATAGACACCGAGGTAGGCCAAGGTCTGGAGCTGCGGCTTGTGGGGTCTCACGCACGTGTTGGGGCGGGATTGGCCATGATGGCATATGTTTGAAGCAGGCTGCCTTACAGTCGGCCCATCAATCAACCCAGGCGGTTCCCTCGAGATGCCAAGTCTACTGGCCGATAATGGCTGGCTGTGCCCCGACTAAGCCACAACTGTATGCATGTTAAGTCAGGCAGGCGCAAGAATATGCCCTGGAACTTCGGGAATCTGGTTCAATTGCGGAAAGCAGTCTTACATTCCTTTTTGGCTTTGACAGAAAAGTCCGACATCGCAGCGGATCGTGAATGGTTAAGCTCTTTGTTAAATCAATATGTGATCAAAATGATATGAAGT